ATATATGTGTATATATATATATATATATTAACGTATATTTTTAGATTACCAATAGCACACACATGCTTCAATGTGTTACTGTTACCAGATTACAGTACAATAGAAAAATTGCAAGATCGCTTATTGAAAGCAATCAATTATTCAAAAGGTTTTGGCATGTTATGAACATGCTTCATCACTTCTCTTTCTTCCACTGTCTTTCGAATGATATTCGAAGTACACAATAAGACTCAATTATTTTTGTCATTTTATTCTTAGCTATTTTATTCGGAAATATTTATCATAATATAATCCAAAATCGTGCCAGTGCGCTTAATCATGGAAACGTTGCTTATGTGCAATACGACTCATCAAAAGGCTCCTAACGTTCTAAAAATTCCAACGAATCAAATATCGAATTCTTTGTACAAAACATATGTTCTTGAAAAAATGCTTTGAAACTTGCACCACTGCAAGAATCGCTTGTACCATACTGTGTACTTTTTCTACTGAAATATAGATAACAAAGACCGATTTTGTTGGCCATTCCGAAATGATTGAGGGAAGAAGTGCAAGAGACATTTCAAAACACGATTACAATGAGTGTAAAAACCGAATGGAACTGCATTATAGAAATAAATATATAACTTTAGTAAAACATAGTCAACATAAACAGGATGCGTTTCAGGAACTCAATGGTTGCAATTATTATGTGATTTTACTTCAAGGTACTATTTTATTTATGAATTTTTTCATTATTAATAAAGAATGAATTTAATAATGATGTAAACTTTTTCTAACGAAAAAATTTATTAGCATGAGTTATAATAACTTCTAATTCAGTTTATAAATTAAAATATAGACGAAATTTTAATCAAAAAGAATGGAATTTTTGGATGGAATTGGAATTTTTTAATCAAAAAGAATTGAACAATATTTAATTGAATTACATATTTGTAATAAAGTGATTTATATAATTATATATAACATTTGATTTGAATAACATTTAATTAATTATTAATTAGTTAAATGACTGATAAAAGTAAAATGGATATTGGTATAAGGAAAAATTCCCTTCTTTTTTATTGATTTTAATTTAACATATCAAATAAGATATTTAATAAGAGGGAGGTTTTTGTTGTACAAAGTTGTCATTTTTAGACATACCTTTAGCTTCCTAAACGCATCTGATGCTGCAAAGCCGAAAACAACCCTTATACAAAACACATTGAGCTAATGTCACTCTGAGCAGACCTTTTTTGTAAAGTAAGGCGTGGGATAGTGGCGCTTTTGTATGTATTTTTCTTTCAATTTCTAACATTTTTCTCATATACCTTGCGTCACGATGGTGATCAAATAGTAGATCGAATAGAAATTCAATTTGTATAAACGTTTATAATAGGCAGCTCTTTAACGGCTGCCAGACATGTCAGTCGTTTTATTGTTATTCATGTGACAATAAAGCTCTCAGAAAAAATGTTGTGTTCATTATTAGCTTTACAGAAAATTGGGCATTATTGTTCAATTATTTCCTCTATCATTCTTTTTTTTCAGCAACATTTAATTTTTAACCGATATACAGGAACAATTCATTTGAATCCAAAACAAAAAGTTTTAAACAGTTAATACAACCTGAACGATTGATACTGCGAGATTCTAAATTATAGATGAAAAAATGTTGAACTTTTCTCTATCAATCACCATAAGGCGAAGATTTTCATTTGCATTCTGTATTTCAGAAATTTACTCAAAATTAAAAATTAAAAATTAAAATACAAACACGTATCATCTAACTTCCTTCAACTACAAATACGATAGAAGTATATAAATATGATAGAAGTATATTATATATTCCACTATGCAAATATCTGAATAATCGCAGAATCCAGAGTTTGGAAGATGGATTTTTGATAGAAGAGAAAACGGGCTTTTGTCTGTTCATAAAAACACTCAAATACATTTCGACATTCAGCGTAAATCGATATCATGTATGAACTTACATGCTCTTCTTACATCATTGGAGTATTCAATCATTGGCGAATCCAGAAATTTATCGAGATATTGGCACACAATGAGCGAAAGTTTTTTTAAGATCAAATATGAAAAAATAGAATATTAAATTATTATTTAAATTCACATGAGATAGATATTACTTAAATGTATAATTTTTATTAAAATATTTTTTAAATAAAACATTTTTATTTAAAATTATATTAACACAAGAAAACAATAATGTAATAGAATTAATTTTTCATATAGAAGTTTCTTAAATTAAAAAATATTTTTAGAATATCAAAATTTTGACCCATTTTTCGTGGAAAAAACGGTGGCAATAGGATGCAAGGATCTTGGCATGGAGTGCGAAATAAAACGCAAATATTATTTAGTATCTCCAGAAGACTAACATTGTGACGTTTCACATAAGTTTCTTTCCCCTAAAAATTTCATGAATTACATAATAAATAAAAAATAATTGCTTTGCTATAATAAAATTGCTATAATAAAAATATAATTTTTATTATATTTTTCAGAGGTGTTAAAGTCCAGAATGAACATTGTATTATCAGGTAAAACTTATATAAAATGGACAAAAATTTGTATGAATTTCTGTTTCTTCTATAAACTGGTCCTTGCTTGAATTTCCAACTCAAAAGATCACAGTACCATGCATAAATATGGATTGAAGGATACTGTGATAAGCTCTTTGAAATACAGAGACCATACGTAGAATATGGTAAAATATAATGTTTATATCCCAGAGTTAACACACCACAATTAACCAGTAGGGACGCTACGAAAAAATGCGTGTTCGTGCAAGCATAACTGCGTAGCTTTTGTTTTAGATCTAATGAAATGCAAGACGACAAGAATATGTATATATGTATGCAGGGAAATACAAACGCCTGATCATGCCATTCTTTCTCATTCATTTCATTTTTCTTGTTCATTCATTTTTTATTTCTTTTCATGCTTTCTTCCCATTCTTTCTTATGCTTTCTCCGATATGTAATTTCGGATGGCTAAGCATTAATTACTCCGTGTACGTACATCAACAATTCTACAAGTATCTTTGGAAAATAGATAGAACATTTTCTTCTATTCGACTCTGATATTAAGATAGCGAATGATTACGTGACCAGCACGTTGAGGTCAAAGGCAGAAATTCTCTCTGTCAGAGGTAACTCTATATGACCATGGCTTCTCAAGACTCTAAGATCAGATTATTCGGATTAAGACTAATAAATGATAAGATTCTCGTTTTGATCGTTGATTCAAAAGTCGCTTCCAAATTAGCTTTATTGTCAGTGAATTATGGAAGAATTCCGCAATAGTGACAATATGGAAGAATTCTTCTAAAAGGTATAATATAGGTTGATGATTACAGCAGAGACAATATCAGTTGATAAGTTCCACAAGATTTAGTAGAAATTTAGAAAGAAAATCATCAAACTTTGATGTAAAAATAAAAATAAAAATAAAACTAGGAATATAAAGAAGCAAGATGCCAAATTTAACTCGTCAACCAAACAAAAGTGTAAGCAACAAGAAAAAAAAGATGACCATAATTGAATCGTAGAAGTTATAATTGTAAATTGATCAAAATATTGTGCGTTGACTTATGACTACGACTCCTTTTATAACTCATTGTCAGTTAAGACTCTCTCTGTGTACTGAGGCTCTAAATCTTCTCAAAGAGGTTTCTCAAAGAATTTTCTCCTTCGGAAGTCGAGAACGGAATCGGCGACTTTGTATGAACTTTTTGAACGAGAGAAAAAAAGGCATGAATGGGCATTAATGTAGAAAAGTGGTCCTCAATTTATGAAAATTTTCGATAGAATCGATAACGTGGATGTATATGTTCGATCACTGGGATGTTAAGCTTATTATTATTTTGTAAAAAATAAGTGACAACACGTGAAAAAAAACAAGGTGCTCTGGAATTCGAAGCGAAACCTGGATATCGATCATATAACTTTTTCCAAGATGGA